CATGAATACAGATGCGTTTTTATTCATTTAGCAGCAAGCTCACTTTAATTGGCATCTGACATTTGTCATCAAACATAACGGGGAAAAACTGTGAAAAGCATTAGTTGTGTATTTGAACATGGACAGCCGTTCAATACAAAAACCCTTTTAAGTGAGTTTCCAGTTTAAACTAATAAATCACTGTATGCATTAATATTACAAATCATTTGGCAGACAATAACATTATACGGTTTTAGATTTCTCATTTGTTCTAAATCTCCTTGCCTTGAAGTGAATTTGGCAGATTATGATCTAGATATCTTAAACTTATTTCATGGCCAATTGATCAGTCACATATATAGTCTACAGGGCAGTGAGATACTAAATAGTGTAACTAATACATCCATTTTCAGTAATGCCTTACTAGTTTAATCGAACAAGAAGCCAGTTATCACAGTTTACGGACACGGTTTAACAAGAAAGGCATGATACATGACTCTTGTATTCATCAGCATCCGATTGGAGTAGAGAATCGGTGCAAGCACAGTGGAATTAAACACAGATTTGGGCAGGAACTGAGAATTGCATTGCAGTGTCTTATAACAGCAGGCTGAAATCCAAGGTATCGATACTAGCGACAGGCTCTTTCCAGTAGTTGAAGGCGGAGTACTTCAACAGCTCCAAATCATCTTCCTCCTCCTGTCCCAGGGGTTTTTGGGAGCTCTTGGTCGACTTTGCTTGCTTGGACTTGGGTGTAGAAATGCCAAGGTCTTCCAGCTCTGACAGGTCCAGTGATGGGATGGGCTGCCTCCAAAACAGGAAGGAGTCAAACTGGGTGCTGCTTGTGTCTAACATTTCGATCTGCGCATTAAAAAGAGATTAAAAGATCAGCACTGCACTGCTGCCAAGCAAATATTCATTTGGATTCATAAATTACATAATAAAGACTAACTTGTTTGTTGTTTCAAAGAATACATTGCATGGCTTGCTATTTAAAAACCTGTTTACTATTTCCCTCAGGGAGCTCCTGACTTCCCCATGAGCTATTTTCAGTGAAACTTGAGCAATTTACATCTGTTAAACAACTTTCATATACAGGCCAAAGGCTAAAATCTAACAAAATTATAATAAACTAATATTATACTGTACTATAATTTTTTTTATTTAAAAATTCAATTCAAAAAATCATTAAGTTATGCTAATTAACTGTAAGCAATTTAAATGTAAAAACAACTTTAATATGCATGTCAAAGCAGAAATGATCATTATGATAATTATAAAAGAAGAAATAATAAAACAGTGGCAACAACAAACTAAAATATCATGTTCAGGAATCGTCTGTGTGACTGTGTCTGCACTTTAGGCATCTAATTATATTAATATATCATAACTAGATGGAAGATTTAAGATCTTACATGTGCAAGATTTAAGACCTTACAATAAAATTGCATGTGCAAATAGCTTTCATATGCATGCCAAATGAGAAATATATTGTAAAACCATATATAAAAACGATGATTAAAATCATTAAGTTATGCTAATTAACTGTAAGCAATTTAAATGTAAAAACAACTTTAATATGCATGTCCAAGCAGAAATGATCATTATGATAATTATAAAAGAAGAAATAATAAAACAGTGGCAACAACAAACTAAAATATCATGTTCAGGAATCGTCTGTGTGACTGTGTCTGCACTTTAGGCATCTAATTATATTAATATATCATAACTAGATGGAAGATTTAAGATCTTACATGTGCAAGATTTAAGACCTTACAATAAAATTACATGTGCAAATAGCTTTCATATGCATGCCAAATGAGAAATATATTGTAAAACCATATATAAAAACTTGTTATCAGTATGATTATTATAAAATAAGGAAAAATAAAAATGTTGTGGCAACAAAAATCTTAGATGTCATATTCAAGAATTATCTAGCTATATGAGTGTCTGCATATTAAGCATCTAATTATATTAATATTATAATTAGATGCAGCATGTGCAAATAGCTTTCATATGCATGTCAAATGAGAAATATATTGTAAAACCATATATAAAAACTTGTTATCAGTATGATTATTATAAAATAAGAAAAAAAAAAATGTTGTGGCAACAAAAATCTTAGATGTCATATTCAAGAATTATCTAGCTATATGATAGTGTCTGCATATTAAGCATCTAATTATATTAATATTATAATTAGATGCAAGATTTAAGATCTTACAGATGCAAGATTTATGACCTTAAAATAAAATATATTGTGTATATGTTGTACTACTAGGCTATACAAATAACTTATCATTATGCCTATTATTAAAGTAGTAATAATAAAAAATGATTCACAATAAAATAAATATGTTCAAGAATATGCGATATGATGGTGTCCACACTTCTGCCATCTAATCATATTAATATATTATAATTAGATGCAAGATTTAAGACCTTACAGGAATAAGAACAAAGTAGCATTATCTTTTCATTAGAAAGAAGATATATCATTTGGAAGCTGCAATTTAAAAACATATGAAACCTTTAAAACGCCAATGATTATCATGAAGCCGCTCTAATTAATTGAGCTGCACGTTCATGTCGCGTCGTGGGGTGATTTAGCTCTGGCCACACAAAGCAGCGGCGGTGTACGCCCAAATTTCACAGACAATCGGTGGATGAGGTCCTTAAAGGACCATCAGGAATAGCCTGCATGTTTTTTTGCAGCATCTCACATGCACATCTATTAAAAGACAGGCTCTCGCAGCCCCAAAAATAGTGATAGCGCATCTCATGACAAAGCATTTCAGAGATGCTTCAGTTCAGTGAGCAACTAACCTTAAATAGGCCTCAAGCAAAAACAATGAGGTCATATTAATTCATTAGTCTGGACATAATGCCTATGTGATGGAACACCAAAATCACTTGAAATGCTTTATATGAACAGGATTAAAACAGAAATATTGCTCAGCAAAATTAACAATTGAAAGAACATACCCCTTAGTATGTGATCAGATCGGCTCTCTGTGAATTACAAGCTGGGTTGTAGTAATTCGGATTTGAAGAAGAACAGAAGATGCACCCTGCTTAGTCTCAATCTTCTCGCCGGCTGCTCAGCATGAACCAACCGCACCCAACAGCACTAGTGGAAGATTTGCATTCGCCCCGCCCACCTTCTGGGGCGATTGAGAGGGACCAGTGACAGGTGCATAATTAGCGTCAAGTGGGCGTGGCTAATCGATTGTTCTAATGAAATAGTGAAATTTAGTAACTGTATTAATGGGTGTTTGTTAGTAGTTTTGTGGTGTCTTTTTACAATCTCTGGTACCCATTTGCATCTGTTTACGACCCCTTCTTCTGTTTTGCAAGTGGAGTCGTCTATTGTGTGTGAGATGTGAGTGCTGTGTGTTGATTGGCTGAGTTCAGCGTCCATCAGGTCGATTGACCCTTCTCTCCACTGACTGGATTTCCTGCACGCAAAATCGAAATGTATTGAGAATTTCAGTAGAATAAAATGCTCAGCTTTAGTGTGTGAATATTTATTTTAATTTAGTGAATACCAGGGGCCAGTTGCATAAACAGCCACTATGTTAAGACTGTGTCTTAAGAACTAGTTTGACCAACTAGTAGCTAGTCAAGAGGTAATCAGACTTACTTTTTGGATTCAAATTAGACCATTCTACCTTTTTATAACTTTTTATAATTAGATGACTAACTTTTTAAGACTAGTCTAAGTGGTTTATGCAACCGGCCCCAGGACTATTGCGGCTGGGGAGATTTCTAAGTACATAACACAAATCAAAGACAGTTGCATAAACTTAGCCACCATCTTAAGACTGTGTCTTAAAAATGTGTTTGACCAACTAGCAGTTGCCAAAGGGTAATCAGTCTTACTTTTCCAATACAAATAAGACCAATCTACCTTTTCATAACTGAATTAAAAAAAAGCTACGACCAGTCTTGAAGAAAAACAATTAGTTGACTAACTTTTTAAGACTAGTCTAAACCGTTTATGCAACCGGCCCCAGAGATGCGTGATTAATATTAAAATCACGTTAGATATTTACAGGAATATAAAGAAGCTTTTAGATAAGTAGTGTGCAAAAAGATAACACACTGCTATTCAGTATCATCCCTGTTGTGAATATATAGAATATTCAATACTGTATTATAGGCCTATTTTGACAATAATAATAATAATAATAATAAGTTGGTACATGAAATGACTGACTTGCATGAAAAGGACTCATTCAAACACATGAGACAAAAATAAATGATTTACACTAGATTTGAGCAAATTCATTACATTTACATTTACATTTAGTCATTTAGCAGACACTTTTATCCAAAGCGACTTACAAATGAGGACAATAGAAGCAGTCAAAACTAACAAAAGAGCAACAATATATAAGTGCAAATGACAAGTCTCGGTTAGCCTAACACAGTACACTTAGTCAATCCTGTTTAACAGGTAAAGTTAAAAGAAAGAAAGAAAGAAAGAAAGAAAGAAAGAAAGAAAGAAAGAAATAAAGAAAGAAAGAAAGAAAGAAAGAAAGAAAATTCTCTTCTGTCATTATTTTTGTGGAACACAAAAGGACATGTTTGGCAGAATGTTTGGAACTGACACCATTCCTCATTCAATGCATAATTTTGCCCATACAGTGAATGTAAATAAAGCTGTCACTTTTCTTATCTTTTTTTTTTTGTATTCTACTATAGAAAGAAAGTCGTATTGGTTGGAAATATTAGGGTAACTAACTGATGACAGATATTCTATTCTATTCTATTCTGTTCTATTCTAGAGTTGCCATCTTCAGTGCAGCTCGAACCTGCACTTCCATCCTCCAACCACGAGATGCCACTAGATACCTGGTAATAATTCATATCCCATACGTCTTAAAATATCAAAACATTTTACAGCAGCAATTTTGCCAGTATGACTTAACAAAACACTTAGCTAAATAGAGAAAATACCGCTGAGTGATAAAGAGTATATATTAGCTTCCGACGTGACGTCACTGTTTACAAACACAGGCACCGGAAGTGAGACACAGGCAAAAACAAGATTACGTGTCGCGCGCTGTGTCAGCCGTACGGAGAGACAGCAAAACCTGTAGATTTCAGCCAGACACCTCCACTGGACTACTGTGTTTTACAGTGTATGTTTTAGGGGCAAAGAAGAACGTTTTTAAAGACTGCAGAAAGGTCGCTATGGTAAGTTTCTGCTGCTCTTAATGCAGGGTGAACGGCTATACTCTTATCAAGATTGTAAATACACACTAGTGTGTTTATGAACTCACATACTGTACTGAGTAGAAGAGAAGTTGTCTTTTGCAAATAAACTGGCAAATAAATACCTTATTGCTTTAAAAGGACACAATCCTTGTGTTGACAGTTAACTTATTAACAACCTCATCTGCAGTGTTAATTGTATAAATTGGGAACAATTGCTCGTTTGCACTTTTACTAAGTGAATCTTGTCTACATTTCTTTCTGTTTGTTCCAGAGTTTGTGAAATTCACAATATGAGATCAGAAAACGTTCTTAACCTCCAGAGTGTCACCCTTCAGTGATCAGGTGAAAACTAACCCTAAGGGTCTTTAAACATAGGCTATGTAAATATTATGTTTTGTCAAACAAACTATTGTAACTCTAAGGCTCATATTTTTATGTCTACTTAAGTGTTGCACGGTAATGCATTCTGGTTTGTACATGTAGAGTTTGTAAATGCTGACATGCTTTGTGTGCGTCCACAGAAAGCCTCCCCTGTGACTCAGCTGTTCCCAGAATTAGGCCATTCAAAAACAACAGGACTAGGCTGAGGTGTGCCACTTTAACAGTTTCTTCCTTTGCATACTAGTGATGGATGTGGCATGAAAGCAAGAAAGTAAAGACTAAGTAAAAAAAAAACCCAGTAGTATGAAGTAAGCAAAAATAACATTTTGGGGAAAAGCAAAAAAAAAACAATTTTTTATTTGATCAGCAATTGAAGATTTAAAAAATCATATTTGCTTTCAACCCAACTTTAATTGGCTCTGTTAATTATAAGCACACAATCTCACCTGTAAGGTCATGGCAGATTCTTGCTCAGACACCGTTGATGGTGAGATTATAGGCGTTTCCGAGGGACAGCAGTTAAAAACAACCAAAAATGAGGACTTTGATGCTGCTAGACCACACGACAAGGAAATCGGCCAAAAAGAGGGTGACACCAATACTGAGCAATCCTCCGGGAGCATTTCTCACCTTATGAAAGATGGCCTCACAACATGCAAAGAACCTCCGACAACCACAGCGTCTCTTGAAGATGATGCTAATGCAGCTCAGTCCTTGACCAGTAAAAGCCAAGACAAAACCGATGAATCTGAGATCCTCAATAGCCAATCTTACACGCCCAGCCAATCAGAGGTGACGCCTACTTTCTCCATGGCCAGCCTGGAGTTCTCCGAGGAGACTAATGGGATTCCTCCTGATCGAGCTTTGATATCGTCCAAATCTGCTCAGGATGGCAACCAAGTCCCCTCTCAGGAGAGCGGAGGGGCCTGTGCGGGGGCTGCGAGGGCATCAGAGCCTAGCATGCCGGCATATTATTTTGTCAAGTGGATTACCTGGAAAGAGAAGAAGACGGCCATTATCACACAGAGCGAGAACGGACCCTGCCCCCTGATTGCCATCATGAACATCCTGTTGTTGCGGTGGAAGGTAAGCCATTTAGCATTACCTGCTCGTCATAGTCGAGCTGTTGAGTACAAATACATGGAGCAAAGCAAGTACATTATGTGTGGTGTTTGATAAGGCAAGCATCACTTATACTGTTCGAACACTGTTTGTTTTACTGATGTGAAAGTTACTTTGAATTTTGCAAGTCATCTGACATGATTTTCGCCTGGTGAACAATAACTGGACCAAAATGCTAAAAAAAATGTAGTCCATCTGTGTTGCATCGACTAAAATCAGTGATTTAATATAATATGTGACCCTTGACCACAAAACCAGTCTTGAGTCGCATGGGTATATTTGTAGCAATTGCCAAAAATATATTGTATGTGTTAAAATTATCGATTTTTTTTTTTTCTTTTCGAAATTCGAATTTATCGGGGGAAAAAAGTGTTGTGAAATAGAAGAAAAGATGTAGACGAGGGTGTGCCGTGACTAAAAGCAGAAGTATTTGTTTGTGATTTTCATGTTCATGTACTTCAGATCATTATATGCATGTAAAATATGAACTGTATGAAGTCTGTCTATTCTTCAGGTGAAGTTGCCGGCTCAGACGGAAGTGGTCACCACTGAAGAGCTGATGGCTCACCTTGGTAGGATGTTTTAGAGCACTGGACATGCAGTTTCTGTTTTACAAATCAAATTACATTAAAACACAAAGTGCACACAGCACATCCACCGTGGTAATGGACTGTAATACGTTAAGGAGCTCTAGTGATGCACCGCAGTAAACTTTATGGTTGGAAACAGATGGCTGATGTGACTTGAGAGGGAGGGGGTGTGGTTACTGTGTGAAAACATTTGTGTTTCAGTACCATTAATGGCACCCCAATCACGCAATATGTACCATTAAGTCTCTGCTCTTTGTGTAAGTAGTCATTTAGAAGACGCTTTTAGGTTAAGTGCCTCGCTCAAAGACACAATGGTAATACTTTCTGACCCCTCGATGGGTTTGAATCCTTACTAGTCCAGATGATTAAAGTAAGTTCACCCAAAAATGAAAATGAAAAATGTACTGAAAATGTACTCACCCTTTGGCCATCTAAAACATTTGTTGGAGAAGTTTAGTATTACATCACTTGCTCACCAATAGATCCTCTGCAGTGAATGGGTGCCGTCAGAATGAGTCCAAACAGCTGATAAAAACTGTAATCGTTGATCAGTAACAGTTGATCAATTAATGTCTTATGTCTTTAAATCTGAAAGTGCACCGTGTATAAAGTTATTGTCTCTCAAAAGAAAGAGTCGACTCTGAATCATTGAAACGAGGCGTTTTTAAAACGAATCCCAAGCTGTTTCATGTTGACGAGGTCAACATGAAACATTAGCATATTGCCCGCCCACTTGTCGGTCTTTTCGCGTTGGTATGAATGAAAATGCAAATTCATTCTTTGCCACTAGGTGCAGCTTTTGGAGCGATAAAAATAGCGGTTTCCCCAGTAACGCTGTACACAAAGCAGCACTGCGCTCACAAACGCTGCTTTATCACTGGCATGATGAAATGGAAATGAGACCAATCAGACCAATCACCGCAGATTAGCGTCACGCAAAGGAGGTGTTTGGAAAAATTATTCGTTGAGCTAATTGTTTGGGAGTCGTTGAGCAAGTAAGGTAAAAATAAATGCATATTATAAGATAATGACAGTGCTTTTTTAATTTTTATATACCTTGCATACATGTCAACCTGTTGTTGGGGACTCCCAAAACCAAAATATGAACCTTTCATTGCCCATAATAGGGGCACTTTAATGATGGATTTGTTTATTACAAACATGCAGCTTTTTGCTTTACTGGAGTTGTGTGGATTATTGTGATGTTTTTATCACCTGTTTGGACTCTCATTCTGACGGCACCCATCCACTGCAAAGGATCCATTGGTGAGCAAGTGATGTAATGCTAGATTTCTCTACATCTGTTACATCTCATGAAGAAACAAACTCACCTAGATCTTGAATGGCCTAAGTAGATTTTCAGCAAATGTTCATGTTTGGGTGAACTATTCCTTTAACTACCACTCTTGATCAGCTATGGGTGTAGGTTTTCTTTTACAGTGTCCCTAAAATGTATTTGGAAACGTTTGCACATTGAAGTCACACACATGAATGTCATTGCATTGCATTAAATAACAAAATTCAAACTGTAAAAAAAAAAATCTTTTAATCTTTAAATTCCTATTAACCAACTGGTGTCACTAGCATAGTATTTATATTTACGTACTTACATTTCTCTAATACAATGATATTTTAAGTGTGGCTTAAGTGTCCAAATATTTTTTGGAGCCACTGTATATCACCGCTTATTAGGCCATAGCTAGAAAGATAAATGTGTTAGGTTGCTGAGTGATGGGGAGATAAACAAGAAGTGCTTTCACAAACAATACAAATATGTTTGACATGAAAAGGTGACACTTCTCAAATCACACAACCTTTGACCGAAAGCTGAAGCGTTTTTGAAATGCTTAAGCCCAACTGTTTCTCGTTCTAGGTGAATGTGTGCTGTCCATCAAACCGCGGGAGAAAGCAGAAGGCATGGAGCTCAATTTCCAGCAGGTAAATCGTAGTATGGGAGAACCATTGTAACAGACTCAGCTCTGCACATGTCTAGTGAATATAATTAACATGTTAAGCAGCTGGGCAGCGCTGGAAACCTCAGAACCAAAAGACATATACAATCAGATATTGTGAATGAGGTCTTCAATCTGTGAATGAAGGCTTGTGATCCCTTCATTAGCAATTCCAACAATTACAACGTGTGTTTGTGGTTATAGATGCACAAATGAAAGCCTCCTTTTGTTCATGTGCCTTTGCTGTTCCTTTTTGCTCACGACTGAAAATTAAATGGATTCGATTCGAAGCTTATGCAAGATAATGCTAATGTTCTCATATTTAGTTTAATCTTTTTTCAATTCATATTTTTTATAATATAGATGAAAATAATAAATGAAAAATGTATGCATGATTTCTTTTAGAATATTTCAGATTATCATTTATTATTTATACAGTCTGCTATTGGCTTGTCTTGAGAATTGCAAACAAAAATAATCAAGTTTAAAAAAAAAATAATTATTAATATGTTTATTCAGAAAGGTTGCCATTAATTTGTCAAAAGTGACAGCAAAGGCATTTATATCGCTACAAAAAAAATTCAATTTCAGATAAAAACTTTTTAACATTAATAATAAGAAGATGAAATGTTTCTTGAGCACCAAATCAGCAAATTAGAATAATTTCTGAAGGATGCTGACCCTAAACGTTTGAACTGTAATTAATAAAAAATTTTAATGCAATTTTGTGATTTCAACTTAATAGCTTAGCTATGAGCAGTCAGCATGTTTTGTGGTAAATATTACTCATACTATCTTCCACTTAATCCAAATATCTCAATATAGCAGATGCTGAGGCCAATAACAAATTAGCCTGTATGCATTTGTGTATATTTTTGTCTCAGAAGATTGTTTTTAATTGCATTTCTCATTCCCTTCACAGAACATGAGTGACGCGATGGCTGTGCTGCCAAAGTTGTCCACAGGCCTCGACGTTAATGTGCGTTTTACAGGTGTGTCGGATTTTGAGTACACTCCTGAGTGCATCGTCTTTGATCTGCTTGACATTCTGCTCTACCACGGCTGGCTTGTCGACCCACAGGTACGTCAGCAGAAAAATGATATAACGTGTGAATTCTGTGTATCCAAACAACAATACAAGTGCTCCATTCTTCTTCAGAGTCCTGAGGTGGTGTCTGCAGTGGGCAAACTCAGCTACAACCAACTGGTGGAGAAGATCATAGATTTCAAGCACTCGACAGATAGCAGTCAAGTCAGTGAAGGTACAGTTAATGTTATTTCTTATACACGAATGGCTCAGATATTCTATATCACAGGTGTGTGGACTCCTCAGTATTGTATTAATGGCTGATGGTAAATCTTAATGTCTGTTTGTTGACAGGTTTGATAGCAGAGCAATTCTTGGAGTCCACAGCAACCCAGCTGTCGTATCACGGCCTGTGTGAGCTCAACACGACAGCCAAGGAGGGAGAACTGTCTGTATTTTTCAGGAACAACCACTTCAGCACTATGATAAAGCACAAGGTGTTTAGCAGCCTTCCCACACTAATACTCTCCATAGTAGCTAAGCTGATTACAACAACCCCAGCGACGTCAAGCCACTTTAAACCCACCACCACCACCAAAAAATATATAAAAAATTTGGGGCTGATTTTTATAGCAAAAATTTGTTTTTTGAGCCCAAGTTAAACATTCAGCTTGAGTAAATGCATTTTGCTCACTTTAATGCAGATTTTGCTATTATAAACCTATAAAGTTGTAAGTTAAGGCAAGATACTACAGGCAAAAACGCTTTTCATAAAGCAATGTTTCTGACTATATACAAAGAAAACATCCAAAATACACCACTTTATTGCGCTTTATCTATTTGCATCTCTTTAAAGATTTCTGAAAATGCTTTTTCTTTCCTGCACTGAGCCAAAAATCTCCACTTTGTTGCACTTGCACCAAAATGACAGCTTTTTACAGAGGTTTATCAATGTATAATTGACCTGATTTTAAAAGTGTATTCCTCAAAAAACAGTGAAAATTAGTTTTTCTGGCTGTTTCTGATTTATAGAAAAAATATATCCAGAATCTCCTCTATTAAAAAAATGAAACCACAATCTTCATATTGTTCAGATTTTTGTACTGAAAAAATGTTAAAGTGCAATTAATTAGATAATGCCTAATGTGCAAACATCACATTTCACATGTTGCATAAAAGCAACACATTTCAGGTTGTATGTTAATATGATAATGGTACTTGAACCTCATTGAATTGCTTACTGAGATGCATTTGAAATTCAAATGGCTTTGTCGCTGTTATTTGGTCTGCTGACCAGTGATCAGTATGTTCAATGTGTGAATTTGCAGGGTCACCTTTACCTGCTGGTCACAGATCAGGGCTTCCTGCAGGAGGAGAGCGTGGTGTGGGAGAGTCTCCATAATGTGGAGGGGGATGGGAATTTCTGTGACTCAGAATTCAGATTGTGTCACCCTTCCCAGAAACCCTCAGCAGCCAGCCAGCCCTCCACACAACAGCAGCAGCAAATGCAGATCGACCAGGTGATTACGATTTTGCCTGCTTTTTCCTATCATATAGGTGTAAGAGTAACCAATAATATCACAGCCTAACATCCCAATGCAAAACAAATCTACATTCTTACCCAACGATTGTGCAGTTTCACTCAGAAATAGGTCATTTGATGTTAAGTTAAATGCTTTGAGAAAGCTGTTTCATGTTGAAATGTATACCAACATTGGTTTAAGATGGATTCAGTGAATGTTTGGATGTGTTATCCAGGACTATCTGGTGGCGATGTCCCTGCAGCAGCAGCAGGGTGAAGCTCCTGGTCCCTTGAGTGATCTTGAGCTGGCCAGACAGCTGCAGCAGGAGGAGTACCAGCAGCCACAAACACAACAGCACCAGGCCCAGCCCTCAGCAGGACAGGTACTTCCTGTCTTTCCTTCAGGAGGAAACGCTTGTGCATGAAACTTCAGGGAAGCATTCTTTGAGATTAAATTGGCTTTATTCATGAAACTCTGAGTAAATCATTTAGAAACTGTTGTATTCAATACAGTGCAGCGATTTACAAAAGAGTAGATTTATACACATTTGTTTTACTCGTTTCAAAGGACGTTCCTGTTCAGCATCGTGATTCTTCAGAAATCATTCTAATATTAGTTCTCAAGAAGCATTTCTCATTATCAGTGTTGAAAAGAGTGCTGCTTAATATTTATTTAGAAAAATAGAAATAGATTAAATAGAATTTATTTGTAACATTGTCTTTACTGTTGCTTTTGGTCATTTTAATGCATTCTTGCTGAAAAAAAAAAAAAAAGGTAGTGTAGTTCACCCAAAAATGAAAATTCTGTCGTCATTTACTCACCCTCATGTCGTTACAAACCTGTTATGATTCTTTCTGATATTTTGAAGAATTTTCTATGAGCTGTGTCTGTGATGATGTGGTAGGGAAGCTTGTTTCTGCAATGGGAGTTAAAAAAAATTATAATAATTCAGACTTTTTCTTTCACGATTCGGTTGAAATACAGAATTTTTCCAGCAACTTAAGTGCAGCGTTTTTTGTGCAGTCATCAAAATAATTTTGCACACATACACAGTTTAGTGTTATCATAAGCACATGCACAATGGGCTCCAAAATCTGAGAGCTTTTGTGAAAATGCAAACCTGATGATCATAAATAAAAGAGCATATGTGCTTTAATTGAAGATGGAACATCTGGCTGGCTGTACAAAGAGACACATGATCAATGTCACATTTATGCACATTTGGATTCAGAGAATTAAAGAGTCACTGTCTTTTTATTTCATAATTTAACTTCAAAAATAATTTTTCCAGATTTAAAGGGCGTCAAATGCGTCAAAGTCTCTGATTTTATTCAGACAAGGAATTTTCATAAGCATGCAAAAGTTTGGGGTATTTTATTTTTTTTTAAAGAATTTAGGATACATTAAACTAACGAAAAGTGATGGTTTTTATTTTAAATAAATGCTGTTTTTTTATTTTCTATTCATCAAACAATCCTGTAAAAAATGGTCAATAATATTTTAGCAGTTTTTAACATGGATAAAAACAAGAAAAGTTTCTTCATAAGCAAATCAGCATGTTAGAATGATTTCTGAAGGATCATGTGACACTGAAGACTGGAGTAATGATGCTGAAAATTCAGCTTTGACAGGAATAAATGACATTTTATAAAATAGAAAAATATTTTAAATTGTAATCATATTTCACAATATCGCAATTTTAATAAAAAAGGATAAAGATATTAACATTTAAAAAATATTACCAGCCTAAATCTTTTGAACAGGGTGTATTGTTTTTATAAAATATGTAATAATTATGTAAAAATATCTTTTTTTTCATATTTTCTGTGATAAAGCAGGAGGAAAACAAAACTATTACGTGATCAACTCAAAGTAAACCTGAACTCAAATCTATCTGCATCCTTGGAGATAACCAGACAATTTAAGCTCCTTTCACACATTTAAATACAATTGTGTATCACTTAAACATGATACACTGAAAACGGGTGAAGTGGTTCACAAACACTTGATATAAAGAAACACATCATACATATTGTTTATTAGTGCTGATTTACGAAAATGTGCTCACAGTCAAGAGAATTTCATTTTTTTATATGGATGATGTCCAATTGAACAGTTTTAACATGAAAAAACACATGAAATACAAAACTTTTCAAAAAGAAGACCTCATAAGTACAAAAACAAATAACATACAAGGTGTGGGTGCCGTCAGAATGAGAGTCTAAACAGCTGATAAAAACATCATCATAATCCACACGACTCCATTCCATTAATTAATGTCTTGTCAAATAAATGTTTCTTACAATGTAACTTACAAACATGCAGCTTTTCACTTCACAAGATGTTAATTGATGGAATGGAGTCTTGTGGATTATTGTGAGGTTTTTATCAGCTGTTTGGACTCTCATTCTGACGGCACCCATTCACTGCAGAGGATCCACTGGTGAGCAAGTGATGCGACATTTCTCCAAAAATGTTCAGATGAAAAAACAAACTCATCTACATTTTGGATGGCCTGAGGGTGAGTACGTTTTCATTTTTGGATGATTCCTGATTCTTGATTCCTTTAAGAGGGAACAAAATTCTAATGAACACAAATGATCAAAAAGCAACAGGCCCTAACAATATCCCAATGTACAAAATAAAAGCTCCTGTAATTATCTACAGAAGAAAGAGTTCCATTAATTTAGGTTAGAGTCAAACTTTAAACCTTGAGTAAATTAAGCAGCCGTTTATTCATTCAGAATTGAACACGACATATATAGCACATTCATTTCATGAGCCTAAATGTAATTTATGCTGACGCAACGCTAGCAGGCTGTCTGACAGCCAGTTGCCATTTTGCCAGCATTGTACCGTGGTAATTCTGCCCAGAATCAGCACCAGTGAGCAGCGGATGCTAAGTGCAGTCAGACTGCTGATTGGTGAAATCACTGCCATGTGAATCACATTGTGTTGTTAGTTAAACCCGTTTAGCTTTTTAAAGCACCATTACTCCAGAGTAAAATTATCACCTCTAGTCATTTCCCATCTCACATATATTACTACAATATTTGAATAAATAGCAAACATCTGACTCCAAATCTTTTTATTCATAATTGGAGTGGCTTTGTTTTAAATTAAGTGCCTATTAAACCTCTATTAACCATCAGCAGCCTTTGTTGAGCTTTAACCTTAAAGGAGATTTCCCCCCCCAAATCATAGCCTTTTAATACCTTTAAATTGAATAAAGCGCATCAAATAATATTCATAAAACTACTAATCTATTTTCCCATTCCATTAATTATTTACTTTCAAATAAAAAATATTATTAAATTGCGGAAATTTTTTTTTTTTAACTCACATGAATGAACTTTTGGCTAAGAAAACAACTAGTAAAAAATATTTAAGGCTATAAAAAGAGGAAAATTCTCCTTTAAGACATGATAATCTACACAAAAGGATGCTGTTGTGGCTCAAGCTTTGTAAAATTTGTGTAAATAAATAATTAGTACATATTTCAGTTTAAATTTAAATAATATAATCAAATTTAAGAAATCTTAAATTCTAATACATGCTTTTAGGGTGACAGTGCACACTTTACTAGTAACTGATAATAATAATATTCCATAGTAGCAATATAGTGACGATGGCTATACATTTGGAAAATAAAACGTTTTAAATGAGTTCTGGTATTCTTTACCTATGAAGATATTCTTCTGGGCTCACGGATAAATTATTTACATCTGTTAAGTGTTAAATTACGTTGCTGTAAGAGAACGACTGAACAGACCTGAACGCAGGGGGTGGGGCTTTGAGAAGAATCCCGAAATCACAGCCTCATTTGCATATTTAAAGGGACTTGAGGTCTTTGTTTTTCCATCCACCTACACTGTGCACCATATGAACCAGTAGTGTCTTCTCGACCTTCACAACAGCAACTCGATGTAGTAATTTCGAAGTTTGTGTATCTGTTATTTGCGACGTCTAAAAAAAAAAAACTGAACTATTAACCCATTCACTGGGCGAGGGAGGGACTTTTTTCGAACCCTGAAGTTGCAAACCCGTAATACCACTCTTTGTCATCTGAACAACTAGAAAACACACTCGAATGTCTCAATTCATGTTTTACAAACACAAACATGCAAAGACGGTTAGAGCAAAAAAGAGCAACTGCCCTCTTATGGCACTGAGAATGGTGACAAATGCCAACAGATGGTAAGCAGTTCCTTGGTAACTCTGATGATTTATCTTTTTCTTTTTCTTTTTTTTGATTTCCTTTCGTTTTATAACTGAGCTGAACCAGATTGGACTGTTATTTGTGAGTATATCTGTTCGTTTCAGTTTTCAATGCTCTAAAATTCGCTCTTTCTTGTCAAAACATTTGTTCCAGGCCACTTAAATTCATAATCTCTTTAAAAGCACTCCTGGAGTCTTCAGGAATTCACTTATGTTTCGTATTAATCATATGAAAATATGAGTGTAGTTGCTGTTTTAAGGCAACAATGACAGGTTGTACTTCTATACATCATTTTACAAAGAAAGCAGACACACCCAGTCAAGCTCAGCCAAGATGGTACACCTCAGTTTGACTACTAGCTAGTATGCAATTCACAGAAGCACTGGAAAGGCATTGCACATTGAGATCAGGGAGTCGGGTGCTGTGCTGCTGTCACGGGGCGTCTGGTTTTGGGGTTTCTCCAAACAAGGAGCCGAAGGAGCTGGGAATACCTGCTGAGTTTGGCATGGAATCGACCTGTGGCTCCACAGGAGTCTGCACAATTTCCACTTCTCCTCTGTCCTCTAATAATGTTGCCGGTGGGAGGTACGAAACGGTGGACTGTAGCACTTCTTGGGGAGCCGGCCTTCCTTCTCTGGATAACGGCGCACGCTGGATGACCATCCTGCGGCTCAGCTCGTAACCCGGTTGGTTGGGCCCTTGCATTAGCAGGACGGACTGCTGCTTCTCAGGTTCTGCTGCAGGTTGATATTGGACAACTACACCTCTATGCTCAGCATCTGTCACTTCCTGGATGGTCGGAAGTTGGCTAAGCATCAAGCCTTGCTGGTCCTGGATCACGATTTCCACCAACTGTGAAGGAGCGGCGGGTGCACAGGAAGGCAAGGCCTTTTGGATTACTCCTCTCGTGAGAAAAGCTGGATTTGGATTCGAGGTTGGGGCTGACGGCAGCTGCAGTGCCATGTCTTCTGGTCTTTGCTTTCGGGGTCGTCCTCTTTTGCGTTTCGGAGCAACACCAGCGGCTGACACTGAAGTGGTGGGGTCAGGGCCCCGCTTCGGAGCCGCCAGTCGCGCTCTTTGGACCACTGGAGTCGGAGCAGCAGAAGTGGCGACCGTGACTGATGTTTTCTCGCGCTCTGGGTAAGAAAGACTCATGCCTGATGGCAGAATCATAACAGGGACAGTGCCACCTGGTTGAGAGGGTATCGTTGCGACTGTGATAGGCAGAGTGACTTGAACGCTGCCCGAATCAGCTGGTCCGAGACACGGTGGGGAGGTTTTCTCTGGGACGGTGCCTCTGGGAAGGAGCTGAGGCAGCTTCTTCATATAAGCCTCCACTCGAGCAGACTCAACCTTATTGGTTGGTTTTTCACTGACCTGCTGCTTATTGGATGGCGGCTGTTCCACACCGTCTTTCTCGTTTTGCTGCCAAAAACATCACAACGGTACTATATTTACCATTTATAGTATACAATACTGCTGTCATAAAACAAACCTGACAAGGTGATCAGCATGCCCTTATTTGGTTTGTTCTGTGAAACTGATTGGCTGATTATAAATGATCCCACTTTTGACATGGCTGCTTACCAAAAAAAAAGCCATTACATATTGATTTCAGTTGAGAAATATAAAAGTGGCACAGATATGTAGTAAATCAGTTGACTGGGACTATTATAATTTATTCAGTCATTATAGAAAAATATTTGATGATACTCTATTCCAGAGATTAGTGCAAAACTGATTGATTTATGAATCTAAATGATTCGGGGGAGAAATTTGGGGGAAGAAGCACAGATATAAAATCTGAAATGTTCAAATTTCAGACCAGTATTACCTTATTTTCTGCACTGACATTATCTTCTTCTGCTCCACCTGCTCGGGAAGCTGCTGCAATCTTTTTAATTACTTTATGAGGTTTGGAGGGTCCGCCTATGAAAACCAAAAAACAAACCACAAATGTAGCTTCACTCCTAAAGCAATGTAGCAAAATCAGGGCTATTATTGTTAACTAAAACCATAAAATAATTAAATTAAAATAAAATATTAAAAAAACGTGTTAATTCATCTAGTTGCCAATGCAACATTTCTCATTTTCTTTAGTTTAACTACTAAAATAATTAAACTAAAACTTAATAAAAACGACTTTATTTTAAAAAACTAATTATAAAACAAAACAATTACTATATATATATTTTTTTAAGATTTATTTTTGGCGTTTTTGCCTTTATTATGATGGGACAGTTTAAATCTGACAGGAAACAAAGTGGGAGAGAGAGGGGGGGGGGGGCGGGATCGGGAAAGGTCCTTGAGCCGGGATTTGAACTCGGGATGCCCATAGCACAGAAAATACAATCTAATTCAAACTATTAACAATAACTATAATAGTACATCAATGACACCACAATAATGCTAAGCAAATCTTAACATGTCATCTTACTATTCACTTGCACGTACCTGCCAGAGCAGCTGAAGTGACGAGCTCGGCTTGGCTGCAGCGTGGGTTGACGATGTGCTCCTGTACGAGGAAGCGTGCGATTTCTACCACCGTGTCAAAAGAGCGCTTGAGGATCTTTTGGGCCCAGTCACAGATAAGTTCACAGGCTGCTTCGGTGACCTCTTGCTTGTAGGTTTGCACCAGTTCTGTCAGTTCAGACTGGAGGTGGCACATCACATAGACAAAATATAACTGACAACCTATATCAGTGGCTTTCAATCCTGTGTGTGTGTGGGGGGCAGGGGAACAGGGTTGAAAACCACTGACCTATATTATTTTAATGTTGTGAAAGCAATTTAGAGAAAAAAGTCAGCAGTAAGAAGACAGTCATACCGGGTCATTTTTGAGGTCCAGGTTGGGCAGTAATGGCATGTTTAACACGGTCTTTCGACGTATCCCACTATAGCAGTACGTGCTGGCAATTATGTTAAGGGACACCAAACAATACATTAGGTTTCATTAAATAAAACAATAAGAATTTTAGTTCAAATTCAGTTAAATTATTTGAATGAATGTAAAGCATGAGATTACATTTACTTGTCAAAAGTAAAAAGACATCTTGAAAACCTCTCTAAACAAAACCATTTCAGAGAAAAACTGTATCAAGTGTGTTGACGATGTGTAGAAAGCCATCTAAATCTCTCAAATATTTAGAAATCTTTAACAGTTTAATGTGTGTTTTTACGAGATTGATGAATCTACAATCACTGAGATGTCTTCGACTGCTCTAGATAGGGTTTTAGAAGTCATAAATGTTTGTCTACATTTATACAAATTAAATGAAATTAGAGACAAAAGGATATTTGGACTGTCCTCTACCACCCAGTCGTCGTGCTTTAATATTTGGGAAGATGTCTCGGATGATTTTGCCAAAATTTGCTGCACTTAGAGGCCGATGCTGTAAGTTGTCACAGTGCTTCCTGTTTAGATAGAAAAGCCAGTAAGTAATCATTGTATTTTGTGACAAAATACAAACATGGACAGAAAAAACAGATAATGGACCCTTAAAAGTCTAGGAAAACAGCAAGTGTTTACTTGAATTATAACTCAGTCTAAGAGGCTTGTGTGCATATTCTGCACCCCAGTCCTTACCGGTATGTCTCGTAAACATCTTGTTTAGGCAGGCAGGTGTCAGGATGTTCTTCCAAGTGGCTACGGATCCAGTTGCAGGTGTGAAGCTGGTCTGCCGTGTTGACCGAGTTTGAATCACCACTGGTGCACACAGAGAAGCAGTTTGCAAACATGTGTCAAATATGATATTTCTTGTCACATTTGTCATATTTCTAGCTAGCCTGATTAGCTGGGATTTTAAAAAATAAATTTAAGGGACATCAAATACTTTCATTTACTCATGCATTAAAAAATATACAGATTTAAAAAGCGGATCATGGCTGACTGAAGTACACTTGAGTGATTTTATGTACCTCTTCTCTCCTGCACCTGGACCTGAGGGTAGCTGTAGATAAAGGTAGAGCTTATCGTTGTCAGAGAAACGCTGTACATCTTCCTAAGAAGAGACATGTCACAGAGAGAAAGACAGAATAAGGGCAAGAATATGTGCTCAAAAACACAAATAAGCTGATTGAGTTGAAATATTATACTATACAACAAGACAGTTATAAAATCTCAGAAGGCTAACATTTCATGTTATTTTATCCTCTAAGAAACTTACCAAAATTTTGTCCACTTTGCCCTGCACATTTTTACTGTGAAAAGATGGAATGCGCATATATTTACATATACATCTGCATACACACATGTATAGTGCATTCATCAATGACATTCAGGGTTCGGGCTAAAAAGAATCTGCTAATAATGAACTAAACCTCAGGTCATCCAAGATGTAGATGAGTTTGTTTCTTCATCAAAACAGATTTGGAGAAATATAGCATTACATCATTTGCTCACCAATGGATCCTCTTCAATGAATGCCTTAAAAGATTTCAAATGTCTTTCTTACAAACATGCAGCTTTTCGCTTCACACGACTGTAATTGATGGACTGGAGTGTTGCGGATTATTGTGATGCTTTTATCAGCTATTTGGACTCTGATTCTGATGGCACCCATTCACTGTAGAGGATCCATAGGTAAGCAGGTAAAGTAATACTAATTTTCTCAGAATCCATTCCAATGAAGAAACAATCATCACCACATTTTGAGGGTGAGTACATTTTCCACAAACTTTCCTTTCTGGGTAAACTATTCCCTAAATGCTACAGCTCTGCAAACACCACTCTGCTTAATTTTAACCATGATCTACCATTTCTTCAGAAAATAACGATTTAACATTCTATCTGAACCACAATGAAGAAAGAGTAAAAATAAATAGTTCTTACGAAATGTTGCTTTTAAGCTTCTGCAGCAGCATACTGGGCTCCGTCTCCCCCTCCCCAGCCGAGGCGTCTGCCTTTAACTGATCTTCTGCCATGTCTCAACCACACTGGACTGACAAACTGCATTCAGAACCCTCCTGGACCTGAAGCTCTAGAACAAGAGGCAGATGTTAGTATGTGTCCACATAAGGTTTTGGATAACTTTCAAAGCTGAGTGTCTAATATGCAACAGTGTGTTCTAAAAAGTAAATTAATTCTAGGTTTATTGAGAGGATTATTCAGCATGCAACAAGAACATTGCACATTAGATCAATGCAACTAAAAGTCAACAGAAAAAGTTGTAGGGTGTTGCAGTTTTAGACCATATATGTAGTATAAAGTGTTTAAAGGCACAATAGTTTTATAGTATTTCTTTAATATGCACAACAACTTAAAGTCTGCAAGCAATATGTTACAACAGTCTTAGAACAAGCTGCTTACTGGTAAACATTCAATTCATCACATGTCTGTAAATGATCATCAGTTTCACTACAAACTGACATATTTAGGCCAGGTTTACACGTACAGCGACAGACTGTAAACACGAAATGAAACCACGCAAGCGCCTAATTCTCCCACGTCTAAACGCTCAAGATTTCGAAAATACAGCCACTCATGAAACTGTTGTCAGGTCAATCGGATAGCGACCATGCCCAAATACTGCAGGGCTGTTTTTCCTGCCCCAGTCCAGACATTTCCTCATATTCAGCACACACGCACCCAATGAAGATCTCAACATAAGAAACTGACGCGTTCAGCCGGTGTATGCATGACACCAGGAGCAAATCCGATCACTTTCAATCACTTTAATGCATGATTTAAACTAATGTACGACTAGCATATATGAGATATGCACAGGTCTGGTTGATTACACCCATGTGTATCTCTTTGTGGGCGTATTGAAAGGCCAACCAACCAGAAACTAGACGAAGCCATTGGTTATTTATGACCAAAAGCTCACTTTAGCGCAAGTTAACCATATTCTCGAACGCAAATGCTCATTGATCACTAGAAATAAACCTCACAGCAGCCTAGTTTAAATGAGCGTGACATAGCAGCTAATAGGCTAACATGAGTTCGAACAGGCCGAAGAGACGTCGACTTAACGAAACCGACATAAATGAAGTTACAGTTAATATAATTCGTAACTTAATGACATTATTTGTAAAAAATAACTTTAGTTTTTAGTATATGTATGCACAAGCTAGCTATCGTTAATATCATTACCAATGACTGTTGCTATAGAACTAGCTAGCCACACTTGTACGCCTCGAAAACCTTCGATTATTACGTTAAAATACCTGGCCTTTCTCATAAACTATAACTATTGTCATTGTACAAAGTTTACCTAGTGCAATATCTCATTCAAATAGAAAATAATAGTACCGTTTATTTTATAAACGAAAAAGAAACTACCTGAGACAAATATAGAGCAAAAATCCCCTCTCGGCTTATTTTGTGATTGGACGACTGTGTTATGTCTGCCTGACTACCAAGCAAAGCTCGACGCTAGTTGGCTGGTCTGAGTCATCCTGCTTGGATACAGAATGAAAAGGCGATTTGATTGGTTAATGGTTTCATGCGAGTAAAAAACAACAACATATTTTGTGTACATTTTCATAAAACATAAACCATTATTATTGGGCTAACAATAATGAGTATTTTCTTATGGATTTGTATGGTGGTATAAATACAATAATTGGTATTAATAAATACTACTGTTGTAATATGAATTGTTTACTGCCCAAGTCTTTACCTGGCATTTACTTTTATGTTCTGAAACCAGGAACACTTAATTGTAAAAGCAAGAACACTACATTTATGAACACAGCTTTTCAGTCATTAATACAGCTCACTCTTTAATGTCAAGCTCAACTCAATCCTAGGAACACGAAAAGAGTAACTTTTTACACTCCTTTGATTTATTTCACTGCAGTAGTCACCTTAAATAAACCTAATGTCACATGAATTTATTGTGTGTTGTTAACCAAATAAAATTATCCAGAATTTGATTTGTTGACATTTCCGAGCCCAGTTTGCAGTAAATTAAGAGCCATGTGTTTATACTTTCATATTCTCCCAAAAGCAATTCTTAAAAAGTCTTACTAACATATATTACTCCTAATACCTTCTCCTGGATAGGAAAACTTGCTATTTATGAAAGTGCCGACAAAACTATTTTTTATCTGTATTTCAGGAAGACTTACTGAATTACTATAAATCCGTAAAACATATTAAAATAACTCGGTCATTTATTTAAAACAATTTTTTTAAATATTTTTTTAAAGTGTTAGCGGCCAATCGAGACTTTTATTTTGACATCTACGTCGCTTGGCTCGAAAGGAAAAGGAAGTAGCGCATGTTCTACACAAGTTTGACCCTTGTGGATGTAACGTTAGAATTTATCATTACCATAAATTAATGCCGTTATTTTAGTGAAATGTACCTCTAAAAGCCGCAGCAATAATTCAGGTAGGTAGAATGCCACTGTATTATGAGGGACCCGTACAAAAGCCTTACGCATAATCCTTTTAACAGTGCTTGCAAAGCCGTTGTAGCATTACAAACTGTCACACTGAAGAGGGCGAGCGCGTACGTGTTTCTGTCAGGACAGGACGGATTATTCCCAAACCAGTCTATCAGAGAAGAGATGGCATCATTCCCCAGCAGTGGAAAGGTGGGGTTTCTGAAAGTTTAAAAACAATGCATTTCTTCCTTTTAGTTTTAGACATTTAAATATGGTTCAGTTATCAGAAATCTGAGAGTGTTTATGTACCTTGCAGATGGACCCAAAGACACATCACCAGAAGACACGCTTCAGAAAACATACACACCATCTTTGAAAACCCTAGAGGAAGAAGTTATGGCGAAAATGAACATTCAGGAAGATAGAAGGCCTCGTAAAAGCTACTGGTACTGAGTTACCACAGAGACTGTGTATTGACTGTGTGTTTGAGCTTAACAACATTAGCAAGATCATTTATCATTGAGAAATATTGTATGTGTTCTGCAGACTTTGTCAATAAACCCAACCAAATGTTTTAGTCTGTTTCCTTGCTTTTATGCCACAAACACACATGATACACATGGTTTATTTTCTGTACAAATGTACATTACCATTCAAAAGTTAGGGTCAGTATGATTTAAAAAAAAAGAAATTAATACTTTTATTCAGCAAGAATGTGTTAAATTGATAGATAAAAAAGACGTTTGTAATGTTACAAATGATTTCCATTTCAAATAAATGCTATTTCGAACTCTATTCATCAAAGAATCCTGAAAAATGGGAAAAAGTTTCCACAAAAATATTGAGCACAACTGTTTTTAACATTGAGATTAAAAAGAAATGTTTCAAAACCGCATATTAGAGTGATTTCCGAAGGATTGTGTGGCACTGAAGACTGGAGTAATGACTTCTGAAACTTCTATTCAAATGATATTTTACAATATTACTGCTTTAACTGTATTTCTGAAATGAATTTAGCCTTGGTGAGCATAAGAGAATTCTTTCAAACACATTAGGAGGAGCTGCTGAAGCAGTTCTACTCAGCCGTCATCGAGTGTTCTGTGCACTTCAATAACTGTCTGGTTTGGTTCAGCTACAAAATCAGACATCAGAAGACTACTTGATTCTATTCCTATTCTATCTATAGCACGCCTGTACATACAATTTATTCTTTTTTTGTGGTTTATATTTATGCATGTGTATTTTATTCACGTCTCACTTTTATTATCTGTGTGTTGTTGTTGTCTCCGTGTACTGGAAGCTTGCGACACTATAACAAATTCCTTGTATGTGCAAACATACTTGGCAATAAAGCTCTTTCTGATTCTGATTCTGATTAAAAAATATTACCAACACCACTCAGTATTCTGCCTAACACTAACCTTGACTGAACAAGTAGTAGACACTGTTTACATTCTGAACAGACCATAAAAGCCTAACGCAATTCTAGGTGAAATTTTTGCAAATGTGTTTACAACTGATGTCTGATATGTTTATCTATCTGTTCATCTACCTAACAATTGATAAAATATCATAAAAAATACATTATGTATAGGGGTTCGAACTAGAGTTTCTCGAGTAGACCTATGGGTCAGTTATGTTTTTTTTGCAAGACTATCATATATAATAACATTTGGTTTTTTTCAGTTGTGCGTCAGTTTATTAATTCATTGGTTTATTGTCACGGTTAGTCATGTTTATCCTCCTGAGACCCAGCTATGGAGTTTTTGTCTCTGTAGTGGACATTACATTTTATTCTGAAACCTAAAAATTGATTGGTGGTTTAAAAAAAATTCCCATTGTTTTTGCCTTTTCATGTCTACTCTTGTCATTTTATTTTTTAGAAAAACTGAGTCCTGGTGTCCTCTACAGAAGACATAGCATAACTTATGAATAAAATATAATTTTTCAAAAATGTTATTTTACTCTTTTTTTTTCTTATGCTCTAAACAATGTAATGACATGAAAAAATACTAAATTCGCAAAGCTGTTTATTTCTGGTTCTCAGGAGGATATTGATGAGATTCCACTCCAGTCCAGTTGGTGGCAGTGTTGCGGAACTCTGTGAAACGGTGCAGCGGATGTTGAGGATATACTTCACGATGGTGGAAGAAAAAAATGTTTATGGGTCGAATGGTTAAGAGAGGAGCGATTTATAATTATTAACATATATCACTTGTTTGTTTAGACTAATATATTGATAGTTGTTCGCGTAATTTAAAAACTGCATTTCTAATGCAAGCACAGCTCCTACAGCAAGCGTTGAATTATCCGGAGGCGAATTTGTCATCGATGTTGAGATCTGACATTCATTAGATATTTACACACAATCTTGGTCCATATACATCTGGGAGTACAGGAGCATACGAGATCAGTGGAGCTGCTTTGATGAAAGTGATGCGAAAGTAGCTCTGATTCACTCTCTTCTGAACTGAACTGAACTGAACTGAACGGGTCTGATCATTTATTATGTCTCTGGTAGCGTACGACAGCAGCGACGACAGTGATCGCGATGAATCGCCGGCTTCACCTCTTCGCCCCGCGGGTAAGATCGGCGGACTCTTCGCGTCTCAGACATCAGCTCCTCAACCTAAGAGGATGACTAGAGATCTGCCCAAACCCAAGAAACGCACAGAGCCCGTTAAAATCACCGTTCCTGAAATAAAAGCAGCAGATGTGAGTTTTACAGATCCATGAATGCCCAATCATCTTACTGAAACAGTTTCTGACTGATGGTGTTTTTCTGTTCTAGTCTGACTCTGATGATGATGAGCCCGTCCGAAAGAAATCAGCTCCTCAGGTATGGATAGAGAAAAAAAAAAAGAAGGAAAAAAAAGCATTTTAGTCTATTAGTGTTTTTTTTCCCTTCACCAAAACAGCTGATTTAATTTTAAATGATTAATTTCTCCCTTTTCTGACCCTTAGAATTAAACAAGCTATTTAAAAAAAAAAAAAAAATTATATATATATATATCCTTAAATATGAAATATCTATAATTAGATTGTAAATATATTTATTAGATATAAATTTTTTTTAATGAACTATCTGATCCTTAGGATTAAACGAGATGTTTTTATAAATATATAAACGTATTATTAAATATCTATAATTAGATATAAATATATTTATTTGATGTAAATGATTTATAATGAACTATTACGTATGTTTACTACAGTTCCTTTGTTGAGTGCAACAGTCGGTTTTGGA